AAGTAAATCAAGAACCAGAAAAAAGAAGTATCCGGAAGTTTATGAAAATCCAAACCTAGAATGGTTCTTTCGAATGGCAAGTACAGGCGAAACTAAGCGACAACGCCATTTTTCAGTCTTTTTTCTCTTAATCATCTCTTATACTAGTTCATCAATATAACACATGCATATAGGAACAAACATGTATATGCCTTTACACACGTTTACATATTGGTGCACACATGTATACAAACATACAAACACACACCTACAAACCCATGTATACATCCACGTGTACACATGTATACACATGTACACAGGGAAACATAGCTATATATGAATGAAAATACATTTACTAATATATGCATGCATACACTAATTCTGGATAGCTACAGGTCATAAGAGATTCAAAATTGAACCTATTGTTTTTGTTTTACTATTGTTCACACAATACAAGGCCTAAGTGCCACTCAAGGTAGAGCGTTATTGTATGGGGATGTTGCAAGTCCTTATAAAGAGGGAGCAAGATTTGCATATTGTGAGGATATGTAGGATAGATAACGGTTGATTGAGATTAAGATTGTAGTAATCAGGGAAACATCTTCTGGTGAACCCGTTCTTCCAGAGAAGAACTTCCTCCTTATCAATGGAATATGAAAAGCATGAGGAAATGTTGACTCTCAGTGTACGTGGCATGGCGGGGCTCCCCTAGCTGTGACGGTTTAGACTGGTGGCATCAAGGAATATGCTTTCTCTCTCTCTCTCTCTCTCTCTCTCTCTCTCTCTCTCTCACACACACACACACTTACAACCTCTCTCTCAGACGATGTCCCCCTATCACTCACTTTTATTCCGTCTCTTACTTTCTCTTACTCCCTCTTATATGTTTTTCTCTTTTTCTGTCTCTTTCTCACACACACTTTCACCCTCTGGGCAAATTTGGGTCTCTCACTGTTGATTTCTTAATTAAAAAATACGCATAAATCATAGAAATGAAAATTCTACTTGCTTTTGGATATATGTGAGATTTGATTGAAGGGATAATTCCAATTGCCTTCATAATTTGGTAAAAATCTGTCTTTCGATACCAAACATTTAATTACTTGGCAAATGAGACGAAACAAGAACATTAATCAACCTTTTCACATTCACAATTCGTCTTGTTATTCCGTAATTTTCATTGTTCTTGTATTTCAAAATTTCAATTCCGGTGGAACATTGCTAAAACCCATTTTTCGTGGGGATGATGAAGACGTTTTAAATTTCAAAATGAAATTTCAAATGGCTACGACTATTCCTCAGTTATCTAATTAGACCAGTCACGGTAGCCATGATACCTGTGGTAAGAATCGCTTCCTAAATGTTATGGCTTCTTTTTAGTTTGAGAAAAACTTCGTTAGAGCTGATAGAAGACATTTTAAATTATCGAAGTTCATTTGGCGCAGTCTCTGAGACTCTAACGCGTTGCGAAAGTCTGACAAAAACATAACGTATACTTTCAGAAACCTTTCCTTAACCTGGCATCCTTCCGATATAAAGAATCTTGATCCAATTAGAAAGATCCGAAGAGAAAAAGCATAGGTTTTTTTTTAATATTTGGCTCTTCAAATTAATCGGAAGAACGCGAAACTCATCGGACCAAACGACCTTCTCCCACTAATAAAAGATCCATTTCAAACGAACGCGTACCGAGTGAAGATGCTTATGATGATGGACATGGGTATTATAAGTGGCCTGCGGCCGAGATGGGACAATTTATCGCCGACTTAACACCGCCGTCTCAACATCGACCAAGCCATCTCCGTGACAACTCAACTCCAGGACAACTCACCAGCAACCTACTCAGCGCGATGATAACTCAACGCTGGCGTTGAATGTCATAGCTTCAAAACGCTATTGGTTGTCCTTGTTTGCACATCTCTTATATAAGCTTCGAGTCGTAGATATTTAGAAAGTTTAGCTGCTTGTCTTAGTCATTTATTAGTTTATTTGGCTGACTGATGTTTAGTTTTCAAGATCGGGCAAATAACCATGCCAATAGAAGGCGGAACTTGGGAAGAAGTAGCCCCCAAAATTACGGGGCTGTAAAAAGTGCAAAGAAATCGAGATGCATTTTTGAGCAATTAATTGGAGGTCATCCTATTTCCCCTAAATTGAAGAAGTACATGAAGGCAACTGAAATAATTTTGCAAATTGTTTCTCCTTTTTCACAACGATCTTCAACTGAATATTTGATGAGAATTACATAAACTTTTCAATAAATTTTTAAATTAAAAATAAAGTGTTGTATTAAAAATGACTCTTAATAAATTACTTTTACTTGTTTTTAAAAAGTCGACGAAAAAATTCATAGTTGTCCTTGCGTTGAGTAGGCTGGTGGTAAGGTATCACGGAAATCTGTCGGCCGGTGTTGAGTCGGCGGCGTCGAGTTGGCGGTGATGAGTCGCCCTGCACCCGCCTGTGGTTACATCGACAAGGAAGATCGATGTATCGTAGCCTTTTCTTTTTACCTCGATTAAATCTATATATATCTTTTTACAAGAGTTTGCCTTGTACCTGATCTCGCATCAACAAATAAAATACAGCGATTTTCCCCTCGCGTTACCATTGCTGACGTAGCAAAAGATATGTATCCCAAAAGTCATACTGATTCGGAAATGCTCTGACCAGGTCTTCTGTCCGTCAGAAGTTTTTATCTTTACTAAAGCCACAGAAAATATCTTTTTTGCTCATAATTACAGCATCTAACATAACAAAATGAAGTACAAGGGAGGGCTGAAAAATTCATAGGATGACTATGAAGCAGTGATGCTTCTTTATGTGTTATCCCCTCAGAACGTAGACAATCATGGCTCTCCACAACTTCCCGTCCTTCGTAGTTTTTAATAAATTTTGCTTTTCTGTTATTTCTCTTAAACCCTAGCCATGTTCATGTATCTTATTTACAACCGGTGACGAGTCTAGTTAATGTAGTGTTAAAAGCTAAGTTAACTCATGACGTCAGAATATACTTTGAACTTTATGCGACATCAGCGGAGCCAGATGTATCTACGGGTTGGCCTGACACATGGACTCTTGGCCATCAAGTGTAGACTGGCACCTCAGTAGCTACCCCGTCATGTGAACACGCGATGGGCCCGCGTAAGAAAGAGTCGCCTGACAGAGATAAATATATAAACACCAATCCCAGAGGGAAAGGACAATGTGTCGCAGACACTGCACATGAAAATGTAAGGTCCACATTCGGATGAGGATCCCCCAGGCCCGACACACACACACACACACACACACACACACACACACACACACACACACACACACACACACACACATATCCGATAGTAATTGAAATCCAGAGTTGAATAAAATGTAATATTACGTATGAGAGAAATTAAAACTGTTTTCATTAATCAGCACAACTAAAATTAATCCACATAATTTTCATAGGAGAGGGGTAAAAGAATTTCTGTTGGATCTGGCTGCCTCAACCATCGACGGACCTGTGCTAGAATTTTTTCAGTATTTTTTTCTTATGTTCTTACAATTCCTTTTGAAAGCTAAGTGCGTGGGTGGAATTGTCCATTTTGTTTATTATCCCGATGGCAAGATCGTGAGTATATTTGTGTTGTTTCAAATACTGTGTGTTGCGGAAAAGTAGTTCCATTCATAGTTGACTTTGTTTCATTTCCAAACACAGTCAAGACACCTTGACTCCGTTCGAAAAAAATATTTTTGGATGCTTTTCTCGATTCTTTTTTTATTCATTTAACCTTGAAAAATTTGTAAAGATGCAAGAAAAACTTCTAACATATTTTTTATCCATCATATTCAGCGATAATATATATATATATATATATATATATATATATATATATATATATATATATATATATATATATATATATATATTTAACAGAAAGAATATAATAATAAATTTTAGAATATATATATCTATTAATTATTGTAAACCTGACAAATTTCAGACGAACTCAGAAAGAAAAGTTTTTATTATTATTATTGCAGCCCTGCAAAGAAGATGATTAATGCTAAACGGTTTTTTTTTAATTCACAAAAAATACCTTCCTGCCTATTTTTTCAGTTGGCGGGAAATCGTATATTGGACGACCTGCCACCGCCCGTCTAAACTTTTTAGCCACAAAATAAAGATCTACAATCTTTTACTGAGTTTTTATTTTGGGGGGGGGATTTCTTTTAATCATGAAGTGACTTGGAGATACTGTTCAAGAAAAATACGTTTTCGGTTCTTTGAGATTTGTTTTCTTTGTTTGGTTTCGTTAGCCAGGAATTTGATTCCCACATCCCCCCCTTGTCTAAATGCTGTCTGTTTTTGCATTGCAGATGTTTACTTTGATGGCCAATTCACAAAGAACTATCGTTGAGTAGCTTAAATATTGTTTGTAAATTCTTCATCACGTTCTTGAATTTCTTTCTTTATTTTATTTTTATTTTACTTTATTTTTTGTAAAAAAGTTTGTAAAAAGCAGATGAGGAAACCAAACGATTAAACAAGTAGGTAATTGGCAGTAGAAAAAATAAAATTTCTGATCCGTTGCCAGGAGAAACGTTGAGTGGAAAGGAAAAAAACCCAAAAGAAATCAAAATCTGATCTCAAAGGATTGATGCTTGAGACAATTTGAAGACAATTTGAGCAATTTGAGTCTGTTGACATTCTGTTTTTTGATCAGGCGAATTTGTCGCTCAAATAAATGCAAAAATCAAGTTAGGCAAGTTAGAGATATGGCAAGGTGGCCTATAGATTTGAGAAACAGAATATTTAACTCGTATAGTGTGTCTTTTAAAATAAGAAATATATTCCATAGACATCCAGGTTGGTATTTTGATTACCTTTAGTTGTTGAGAAAAATACTGATGGCTCCCTCGTTCCAAATATCGTTTTCAATTTCTTTCCTTCGAGATTTGTAACAATCTATTAATGTAATATATATTCTACAGAAGTTTGCTTTTTTTATCAGTTATTATCACAATGTGTAAATTGTTTTTCATTTTCGATTTTTAATTTTCATAAAATATAGAAAAAGAAAAAAGGAAAGCGAGAAGGACAGAAAGAGAAGATGAATGAAAGAGAAGAGAAAGGAAAGAGAAGAGAAAGGAAAGACAAAAGAAAGGAAAGACAAGAGGAAAGAAAGAGAGAAGAAAGAAAAGAGACGATGAAGGAAAGATGAGAAAGAATGGAGAAGAAAAGCGAAGAAGGAAAGAGAAGAGAAATGGAAGAAGAAGAAGAAAGGAGGAAGGAAAGAGAAGTGAAAGGAAAGAAATGGGTAATGATAGAGAAGAGGAAAGAAATAGAAGAGAAAGGAAAGAGAATTAGAACGAGAGTAGGAGTGAAGAAAAGATAAAGGAAAGAGAAGATGAAAGAAAGAGAAGTGGAAGGAAAGGGAAGAGGAAAGAAAGAAAAGTAAAAGGAAAGAGAGTAGAAGGGAAAGAGAAGCGAAATAGAAGAGAAGAGGAAGGAAAGAGAGGAGGAAAGACAAAGAAGAGGAAGGAAAAGAGAAGATGCAGAAAAGAGATGAGATAGAAGAAAGAAGAGAGGAAAAAAAGGTAAGAGAACATGCAGGAAAGAGATTATAAAGAAAAGAGAAAAAATACGAAAGAGAAGAGGAAGGAAAGAAAGAAAAAGAAAAGAAAGGAAATAAAAGGAGGAGGAAAGATAAAAAAAAAAGGGGAAAAAAGAGAGATAAAAAAAAAAAAAAAATTAATTTGTCAGAAATAAATTTTTTGAAATCAAGGAAATTTTGGGTTGGGCTAATTTACTTTTGAAAATGTTTGAACATCTCTGAGTTACTCGTTTCTTAGCAAACGTTCTAGACGCCATCTTGCGAATGATGACTTCCTTTTGGGACTAAACAGGAAGGCAATTCCCATAAACTTAGGAGAATTAAAAAGATGATTACCAGATGGCATTGTAAAAATTGGTCAATGTTCAAAAGTTAAGAAGAATCTTTAATTAACCGACTAATCTTTCAAGTGCTTTCATTTAGAGGAGAAAAGGCCATAAGTACTATTTTGTGCTGCAAGCTATTTGCATATATAGCTCAAGCGGCAGAGGAAAAAAATGAAGGTGACAAAGTTTATTGCAAGTACTCGACTCGTTTTGGTTAATCCAGAAGATAAAGACATTGGTAAACCAACGAAGGTAGAGAAACTCTTATAAAATGGCACATTTTCTAAGACGAGTGATGTGAAATTTTAGGCAAATACCTGGCACTAATATATGGCCAAGAACTTGTAGCGATGGATAAATGGTCGTCTAAATTACGTGAATTGAAGTGAAAATAACACTGATATCTCATTTTAACAGATATATTTACCAAAAGTACACAAAAATATTTTGAAATACTAAAGAGTAAATTTATCTAACAAAGTCTCTATTGGCTTCAACCACAGCCTCCAGACGACTTCGGAATCTCATGTACCTCTTTTGGACGATCTCCTTGTTTAAGTTGGTGAATGCTGCTGGGGTGTTAAGTGTCCAGATGTAAGGGGTGATGCTGTCGCAGAAATTGTCTGAATCCTGGTTCCAGACATAGGGTCTTCCAGCAGCCACCCTCTTGGCCGAGGGCAGCCCTACCGCCTCAAGGCACTGGATATAGGCCTCCGTGTTGAGTCTGAGGCCCTCACCAACAAATTCGCGAATTCTTTTCTTATCAAAATCATAAGGGTGAGTTTTCCGAGCTGCCGCAACTTCGGAATCACCATTAACTCTTCAAGGCATTTGATTTAGGGCTCGTGTTGAGTTTGAGTCCCTGTTGGTAGATGAATGGAGGCATAATGTCGCCATCACGAGTGATCACTCCAAATAAACTTCGTAATCACCATTAGACCCATTTAACTCTTTTCCAAATCTTCTGCACTGTCCTCAGATTGACACCCAAACACTCTGAAATGGCGGAGTGAACTTCATCATGGTGCTCTTTCTCTCACAGACGGTGGCCAACTGACCCTATTATATTGTGCAGTCGAGAAAATCATAAGGAAGCAACGTGCATGCGCGAATTTATATATATTGATATATATAATTGATAACAAAAGCCATTGGTTTATACCAACGGCTTCTCATACTTAATACTTCTCGTTTTCACTCTCGCGTGGTCATGGGTGACGTCACAAGCAGCGACGCGATTTTCGCTTCCGCGTCTCGTATACACGAGTTAGTCGTTGCTTTGAAATTTTTCATGCAACAAAAACAGACTATCATTATTGTTTCGTCCGTGTATTGGTTGATATATTGAAAAGTAATTGTCATCTTTGATAATGGATTATGTAAGCCGGAAGCTTAAATTAGATTTAAACATGTATCAATATGGTGATTTCCTTTCGTCTTTCAATGATAATATTATTAAGCTCATCACACAATATGAAAAGAACTTACTTAAAATAAATAGCAAAACTTGTCTATATTTAATGAAACATGCATTAATATATATATATATATATATATATATATATATATATATGGTATATTGTCAGCATTTTATATTTTTAATTTCGCGCATGTAGAAAAACGACATTAAAATGTTGAATAAGCTCTCTTCGATTGACTATGAAAATAATCGAAAAGAGGGCACAATGGAGTCGAACGGTAGTTGCCGTCTCGCAATGTCTACCACATTTGCTAGTATTGTAATGTTAATGCACATGATTAAAGAGTTCTTTCACTAATCTTGTGTTTCAGTGTTTTCCTCTGGAATATTATTAACCCGAACTACGAGTTGATACGAGAATTATAACATATATATATATATATATATATATATATATATATATATAGTTCAATTAATAAAACCTCTATTTTGAAGCGGATCACCAAAAACAATTAAAAAAAATTATGTCATAAGAATAAAACCTACAAAATCGAGATAAAACCTGATTTCCATTCATCAGCTGAACGCTTGAATTTTAACTTTAACTGCATCGTTATAGGAATTCGATTAATAAATGACCAATCTATTTCAGGTTTTCGTCTGTTCTTGCTCAAGTATATAAAACTGAAACAATGTAAACATAAAGAAATCAAATAGAAAAACATATTACAGAAAAAAAAACATCTTAAAAGAACATTCATAACAAAAAAGACGAGGTAACACACACACACACACACACACACACACACATATATATATATATATATATATATATATATATATTACCATAAATTGTTAATACCGAAATATGACAACGATTAAAAACAGTTAAACAGGTTTATGAATGTTCTCTCATCAGGACAAAAAATCGAGGAGAAAAAGAAAAAAGATACAAAAAAAAGAAAAAAAAAGAAAGAAATGAGCACAGCGACTAAAGAATATACAACGTCATATTCTAATGTTATATACAAACAATAAATATAATATTAACGGCTGATTATCTTTAAGCCCGACAACCACTCCTTATGTTTACAGAGAGATGGTTGGCCGGACCTAATGTATAAAGATTGTAAAACCTTCAGGTAATAAAAGAGATAAATATAGAAATAATAATAAAACAGTTGAAATTTGATAAAATTTAATTTCTATCGGGATACATCTATAATTCAACATTTAGCCAATTAACGGGAAACACGACAATGTAGATTTTGTTTTTGTGTAGTAAAATTCTTTTTTTTCTGATGACGTCTTCCCAGTTGTCTTATTTACCATTGCATGGAATTCTCATCCAACTTTAGTCACCTCCCCCCCCCCCCTATATATATATATATATATATATATATATATCATTGTGCATTTGGGCAGTAATCCTTTTATGCATGTTTCATTAAAGACGATCGATCAGGTAACGCAATTAAGTTTTTTATTTAATTTTTCTTGTGTTCATATAAGTGTTTTCTTTTCTGAACATAGAATGTGTTAAAAATTGTCGAAATGTTCTGCATATCCGAGCGCTTTCGTCTATTCTTTTAGCCATTACCGAGAATGATTTTATTTTTATTTTTAACTGAATGTATGGATTTTTATATATGTATCTAGACTTATAGGAATGTTTTTATTTTTATTTCCAAACACGGTCAGCACATTGTGTCCGTGTTCATAGTTGATCTCATTGAGTGTTGGCTTTTTCTTTTTTCATTATTAGTGTTTACATTATTTTTACATGTGGATGAGGCTGTTATACTTGTATGTTGCGGATGGAGTTTGGTAGGTGATAATAAAACCAGTGTTCAATATATAATAACTGAGCTATTATTATTAATATCTATAATTTACAACGGTCAGTTTCAAATCCACGCTTGACGATTGCCATGCACATGTAACTCAGAGTTGTAACAAATGACGTGAACACACACACACACACACACACACACACACACACACACACACACACATATATATATATATATATATATGAATAGATAGATAAAAATACAGAGAGAGAGTGTGAGTAAGTTAGTGAGCGAGTTATTTAGGATACCAATTCTTATGGTTGCATATGGACTTCTATTTGATTCTTCGATCCGATCATCAAGCGACCTATTCATTACACCGGTATTAAAACCTCAAAATTTCAGTAGCAACCATTTTGCCTCCCCCTAAAAGAAAGGTCATTGAGATTGAACTGTGCAGTTGTCATAGTCGCCCTTTTTTGCGTTTGTCTCCCGAAAAGAAGGCAATTTTTAAGTTTATGACCTTTTCAACTCGTTATCGTTGAGTCAAACTCATCTGATATATTTTTTCATTACTGTATGACCTTAGTCGCTGACATTCCTACAGTGAAAAACAAAGCTTGACTTGAAGGAACAGAAATGTGGTTCTACAGAAGGATGCTGAGGATACCATGCGTCGAACATGTGAGCAACGACGAGATTTTTGAGAAAATGGAAACGGAAAGGAAACTTATACTTAACATCAGGAAAAGGCGGTTGAAGATTCTGAGATACGTAAGGAGGAAAGAGGGCTTAGAAAATCTGATACCCACAGAGATTTAGGGAAAGCGGGACAAAGGAAAACAGCACGTAACATACTTGGTTAGCTTTAACAAAAAGACAAAATTTATCAAGGAAGATATGGAGAGTCATGATCGCTTACGTTCTGAAGTGACATGGCTCATAGAAGAAGAATATAGATGAAGCAGTGTTGAAACAAAGTTGAAGAATACAGACGCAAATTTAACTTGGAATCCTAGGAATGGTTAGTTGCGAACAAATCAGGATAAAAAGTAAAAGAAATAAAATACTGACGTCATTGTCAAAAAAGGAACATAAGATAAAATATCTCATTACAATAAAAAAACATGTCTGTCTCATCGTATAAATAAATATCAGGTCTCTTAATGAACAAGCATCTGATATTATAATCTTGGCACCACGATGAAAAAGTCCGAATTCTTAAACACTGTATCTTTCAGCCTGTCAAGATAAGCTTCCTTTCTTGCAATTCAAAAGCCAAAAGTCTTGCTAATTCTGAGGGTAAATCTATTTTGAGAATCAAAATATCGTTCGGAAAAGGGATTTACTATTTAGTATCCTCGGATTGAAGAAGCATCCATTTTGGATTGCTCAACTAGTCAAGGCTGCTTGATGATGTGGCAACTCTTTAATCGTTTATTTGCTGGCTTCGAATCTCAAATTAAATTTAATGCAGATGCTGTACAGATTTTTATAACTGTTAGAAATGGAAATTCTTGCAATCTCATGAAAGTAATGCTTCTGAATGAGAAAGTAAGATATTATTGCGTCAATATGTTTTCAATCATTTAAAAGCGTCTAAACTTAAACAGTGATTGTCCAAGTAAATAAACTTCAAACTCAAACA